GTATAATTAGTCGCTAATTCACGCTAACTGTGAAAGCGGGATTAAGAGGAAAGTCAAGAGTGGTGTCAGTCACTACACCGGCTTCTATATTATACGGTTTTTCAATTTTTTTATTGATTTATTATTGTATGTTAATACCAAAATAGCTCTTGAATTAGGACAACACTATTTTGGTTTGTTTTAAATGTTTTGGTGGCATTTATTTTTTTTTCGTTTTTTGTTTCTTTTCTTTTATTTTGCTTTATTTTCTCTCATTTTTTTTAGGTTATTTCGCTTGTAACTCTATAGCCGGCTAAACAGCCGACTGTGAAATAAGTCAAAATCAGAAACACGCCGTTAATTTTGTGTTTATCTATTTAGTACATCTAAATTTTTAATTAATATAATTTTAATCTTAGTTTAAAATGATTTATTTATATATTTATGGCTAGTTTTTCTTTTCCCAAGTATAAGGCTTCCGACATCCGGTGTAATTTTCATTGGTTTTAAATTATGGTATATGGTAATGGCTAAAGTATTTAATTATAAAAACCTGTCATTCACTTTCGTAGTTAATGAGATATTCTTCAAATCCCCTGATGACGAAGTCAAGGATGTCAACAGCTGAATTCTCAAATCCAAAGGAAAAGGGGGAGACAGGTAATCCTTGCTTAAGTCTAATGATTTTGAATGCTACATATTTTTTATCAATAAAATTATAATATAATAATTCATCGAATATAATGAGGTAGACTAAATACTTGCGATCTTTCTTTTTCTTTCTTTCTTTCTTTCTTTCTTTCTTTCTTTCTTTCTTTCTTTCTTTCTTTCTTTCTTTCTTTCTTTCTTTCTTTCTTTCTTTCTTTCTTTCTTTCTTTCTTTCTTTCTTTCTTTCTTTCTTTCTTTCTTTCTTTCTTTCTTTCTTTCTTTCTTTCTTTCTTTCTTTCTTTCTTTCTTTCTTTCTTTCTTTCTTTCTTTCTTTCTTTCTTTCTTTCTTTCTTTCTTTCTTTCTTTCTTTCATTCTTTCTTTCTTTCTTATACATACTGCACCCGATTAAAGTAAAATCGTATTTCTCGATTGACGTCTTCGGGGAAAAAATAAGCGATAATGATTAAAGTATGCGTAATATATATTTTTCTAATAGTATTTAAAGTTTATACCCGTTTGTAACACGATTCGTTTAATCTGTATAGTTTATCCACTACGTCCCTATTCATCACAAAATTGAAAGCCACCTCCGATAATTTATTGACCATGAAATGATGTTCTACCGCTTTCCTGTCCCAACAAACATAACTCGTGTCTCTCTGAGTCGCGAATATACTAACCTATAGAATGTGAAATTATGATCAGTATAATTTTTTATATATATATTTTTAAATTAGTTTTTTTTAGCAGACATCTAGGATTCTGGAAGTTCCCATTTCCGCCCGATCATTGCATTTAATTCCAATCTTTCTTTCTTTCTTTCTTTATTTCTTTCTTTCTTTCTTTCTTTCTTTCTTTCTTTCTTTCTTTCTTTCTTTCTTTCTTTCTTTCTTTCTTTCTTTCTTTCTTTCTTTCTTTCTTTCTTTCTTTCTTTCTTTCTTTCTTTCTTTCTTTCTTTCTTTCTTTCTTTCTTTCTTTCTTTCTTTCTTTCTTTCTTTCTTTCTTTCTTTCTTTCTTTCTTTCTTCCTTTTCTCCCTTTATTTTCTTCCTTTCTTTTCTCCCTTTCTTTTCTCTCTTTCTTTCTTTTTTTTAAAAAAAGAATTCAATTTAACATTATTCACGCCTATTAATGCAAATATATTGTATAGACAAGTATAGATAACCTATTATTATAAATGATTCGTCTTATGCATTAAATATTGTTGTATAATTACTAAAAAAAAAGATTTAATAATCCTAAATATTTACAAGCTTAATCGAATTAGGACAGATTCATTCTAGAAACAAGGGAAGAAAAAAAGGGTTTAAAATAAAATGTATATTTTGTCATCTAGCAAGAAGAAAGAAAGAAAGAAAGAAAGAAAGAAAGAAAGAAAGAAAGAAAGAAAGAAAAAAAGAAAGAAAGAAAGAAAGAAAGAAAGAAAGAAAGAAAGAAAGAAAGAAAGAAAGAAAAGAAAGAAGAAAGAATATTAAAAAGATAGTAAGTAAAAATGTAAGAATCCTCATTTTTATTTATTAAACTCGTCGGGCAGCAAATGCCTCCTTAATCTTTTCAATTGTTTCAAATTGGACTGAAAAAAATGGATTTCTATTATTTTTCCATTCAAAAATCGAAAATATATTTTACTTTAAGCTCACCACTCACATATTAAAAAAAAAAATATGTTGTATCTATATAAAATTTTTATAATAATTTTATAGGCTTGTATAAAATGTTTAATTATTACCCTTAGTTTAAACAAATATTATGAACAAATTTAAATTACCTTCGAATAACAAAGGGTCAAATAATATACAATTTGTTAATATTACTTAGTTAAAATATCTAGATGATTTAGGGTTAGGGTTCAATCTAAATAATATTATCGTCTTCATTATATGACCTTCGTTGTAGAAGAGTTCAAATTTAAATATGTTTGTATATTATTGTACAACAATATCAATCTTTTTAAAAGATTAAAAATTTTTATCAATTTTTTTAAATATTTTAATTATTCAAATAATCAAAATTATTTTATTTTCTCTCTAGGATGTTTTTCCATAGTATCTTATTACTCACAATGGCTTTTATAGGACTATCTCAAGGTATTATCATATAATTTTTGTTAAATATATATATTTTTTAAAAAAAAATTGGAACCATTATATTATTAAATATTTAAGATTTATTTAATGCTTAGGGGGGAGTCATTAGCTTTTTAAGGAGATGCTGAAAATAATTCTTTTTTTTTGCCCTTATTATCTATATATATTTTTGGCCCAATTTTCCTAGGAATCTCGAATCGATTCTATGCCAATAGATTTTTTGTATCTTCTTAACTATAATATATTATAATAATTATGTATTTTACTCAAAATAAGTATCTACCACGTATTCATTATAATTCATATTCTCTACCCTTTTTTCAATAAATAGTTCTTAGATGACCCCCCATATCTAAAAAGCTTTTTAAATTTAGATATTCTTATCTATAAAAATTTAGAAAAATATTTTATCCTTTGATTCTGAATATTTTTCTTTATTAGAATTAAAATGTGGACTAAATTTAAAAATGAACATATTAAATTAATTGGAAAATAGGTACGACTCTTTTGTATACAAAATCAGCTTATGGTATTCTAAATATTAAAAAAAAAACCTTAACGTATTATATGTATTAGATTTTGTTTCCTTTCAATGTTGTGATCGTTTAATATATTTAATTATTTAAAGATTACATAAATCTCTTTATTTATATAATTATAAATTATTTAAATAGTCTCCTTAAACGGTTCAATTTTTTTTTAAAATAGCTTAAACCCCAAGATATTAGCCAAAAAAAATATTATGAAAGCTTGGGGGTTTTTCTTATTAGGTGGCAACATAGGTTTGGACATCTATTAACGAAATCTAGAGGCTTTGTAAAACATTTTTCTTGGCTAAAATGTTGGAATTCGCTCGCGGATAAATAAAAATAATTTAAATGTTCCCAAGGAGAAATTATAATATCTATTTATAATAAAACCTTAAAATTTCGTTTATATAAAAATGCTATATTTTATATTAAAATATTGGCATAAAATTTTGTTTTAAATAGGTATACTAATTTTTTTTTAAAAACTTGCTGTTTAAAAATAAGGATTCATTTTTTGTAGTACATAAACCATCACAGCATAGAACCACCTTAGCATTCGAAACCCATGGTAATATTATTTTGTAAAATTTGCTCATTTTAAAAATTTCGTAAATCATAATATAAACTTCGCAAAATAAATGTTCACAATAATATCAATTATTATGCTATGATTTTTTTCAAATTCGCCAATGGCGTGTCTCATCTCCTGGCATTAGATCTACCATGAATTTAAATATAGAAATGTGATTTTGCAGGGAATAAATTTATTAGCATTGTTCCCAGACTATTGTCTCGAGTTAGTAATTTACTAAAATATAAATTTCTTTAATTTTTTAAATATACTAATTAATAGATATTCAACTTTCAATATTTTTCTTATTTATTAATCAAGAGGCTACTGGTGGTAAGAATATGTTACATATTGCTAATTTTAATTATATTTAATCATGTATTTTTTTTTTGAATTTAATTTTGATTTGTATAAGGTTGAGTTAATTTTTTTTTTATTATTATAATAAGTAATATTTAATAAAACAAAAAAAAATTATCAACGACTTCAATAAATTAGTTCCGCATTCTTAATTAAACTTATTAGATTAGAAGGAATAAATCTTAATAGTATATAATACTATAATTTTACGAATATAACAATTAAAATTCTTTATATAATTCTGAAACAAACCCTATCTTTCTATAATTTTTTTAAAATCAAATTTAAAAATAAAAATAAATAATATTTTAAGATTTTGATAGTCATTGGTTCAAAATAGGTCTCTCAAAATTAATAAATTTTTATATGATTCAAAATTTTTTAGTAATTTGAATAAAAAAGCTAATTATGATTCGAATATGAACAAAAAATAAAATAAAATTTTTTAACGAAATATATAAAATTTAAATTTAAAAAAAATTTTTGAATTAGTTATTAACATTCATTTCTTAGATTTTAAGGAATTGAGTTCATCTATAAATATTATCGACGGTCTGTTTACAAGTCAAAAAACACACATCTACTTCTTTCTGTCTCTCTCTAAATATTTATTCAGATCGCATGAATCTCATGATCTATTAAGAAACAAACCAAATTTGTTCCTATTTAGGATCATCTTAGTTTAATCCCAAACGCACATGTTAATTATTATTTTGCAATAATTTCTGTAAAAATAACAAAATTGTGGTGACTGTAAAAAGCGTGATTGAAGGTTAGCGATTGGCAAATAGTTTGAAATAGATGATAATATATAAAAACTGTTGGCAAGCAGTAAGAAACTTTTAATAAGTTAGGGTTGGAAAGACTATGTAACCTATATAAATATAAGGTCGCTAAAAATAATAATCACCATATATATATATAAATATGAATAAATAATAATTTTATTATTCACTTTCCAACATAATTATAAAAATTTGATAAGATTTTAAAAAAATATAAGTAAATAAATTTAAAATTAATTATAATAAATTAAGAATAACGAAAATTCTTTTACCATCCACCTCCCCCTACCAAAAAAATAACTATATATATATATATATAATTTTTCTTTAAAATCAACATCTTCAAAAATATTCTCATTTATAATAAGTCTAAAATTACCCCACATATTATATCGTAATAATTCATCTAAATTTGAATAAGAAATATTTTTTGTCTAAAAGTGAATTACAATTTCAAGTTGATAATATAAGTTAAAAGGCAGTAACTTCACTAGGGGAGTTTAAAGGGGGGGGGGGTGGTTAGTAGCTGAATCCCTCTGAAAAGGTCACTTAAAAAATATTCGGTGGATCAATTTGAAAAAATATTTTGAGTCTCCTGAGATTGTAAAGTTGCTAGAGTGAATTGAAGGATTTTATTAAATTAAAAAAAATTAGTTTTTTCATGATTTATTTTTATAATAAAATGATATAGGTTTAAATGTCAAGAGGATTTTATTATATATTTTAATTTGTAATTAGGTATAAAAGGTACAAAAACGTCGTCACAAAGCCAAAGTATAATATATTTTTTCATTGCCATTTCTCTATTCTCTATTATATATTATTATTTGAATTGAAAAAAGGATTTAATATTAGTATAGGTGTCTCTCCTTTATTTTTTTGTAGATAAAGACTATTAAATTATTCCTTTATTAGTTTAGAAATCATTTTTCAATGGCCCCTATCTGATTCATGGGATCTTCATCATAGGTCTTAAAGCTTTAAAACAATCTTCTATTCAAATGGTTACCCCAGTGCAGGTTTGTATTTGTTTCATCTTTTTTTAAGAGCAGCAATCACATGCATATCCGATGGTGCATTAATCGACGTATCTTTTACATCTAGCCACATATATTTTGATTTCTAGGTTGCCTCAACTACCTCCTCCGTTTCAACATATCTCCTATCTCTGATGGCCTCAATTACAAAATTTACACCCTATTCTTTTCCTGATGTCTCCCATTTCAACATCTATATAAATATTTCCATTATTAATGTATATAGTGTTATCTTTATTTCGTACTCTGTGGTCAATATATTTTACTTATGATATCTTTCTAAGATTTTTATAATCATTCCTTATAAAATTT